TAGGCATTAATTAATAGATTGTGTGTGGGTCAATTGGCAAAGATTTGTGTAGAAAAAGATGTATGGTAGTTACGAACTTTTTTGCAGAATAGATGCAGTAACCTCTCATTTGCTTCAAATTCTTGAGTCAGCCATCTTGGCTTCTTCCATCATTTCATATAATTCTGCTCATATATCTCCTCATCAGAAAAGCCTTCCATATCCAAAGGAGCATAACCCATTCACTCTCTTCCCTCTAGTTAATTTTTCTTCATACTATTTATTACAACTTAAACATTATATTTTTGGTTATGTTAATGCCCCTCTCAATTAAAACGTTCATTCCATGAAAACAACTGATTTAATCTGACTTTTTTCCTGGAAACTAGAAGAGTACCTGACACAATGGGTGCTCAATAGACGTGGAATGAATTACCAATGAATTCTATATCTTGCCACCTTCCTTTGGGGTATCATCTAATCCTCCTTTCTTTGGGATGTCCACATAAACAGTGATACTTGCTCTTTTTTCTAGGAAATCTTCACTAGAAAATTTAAAAGAGCTCAAGTGGAGCAGGAATTTGGAGTCTTTTCTAACAGTGCAGCACTGGCAAAGATATACAAACTAATATATCAGTAGAGTTGGCAGGGTATGCAAAAGCCTGAATCCTTAACAGATAGAATGAGATCATGATCCCCATTTCTGCCAATTCTTTTCAAATAAGCAGTTTTGAGAACCTCAAATTTTGTACTAAGACATGTTCTTGGACCATAACTAGGTCAGTTGCATTTTAGTCAATATCATCGAACATTTGACTTAGCCAATTCAGTTTTGAAAAATGTTACCTAGTGTTAACATCGTGGCATCTACCTGAATACTTATGCAATTGTTTATTTATTAAAAACTGCAAAAAATGAAAAAAAAAATATATATATAAATATATGGATTCATAACCATATATTGTGTCACAGAAAGTATACATAATGTACTACTAAAATGTTTTGTTGGAAGTTATAGTTAAACTAAAAAAAGAACACTTGAGCAAGGTAGTTTCAGAGAAGAAAAGATGCAGAGTCTGTAGATAATTAGGACAAAAAGAAAATGATAATTGAACCTAGGTCTCTAATAGTAAAGCATATTGGTATGTGCATACTTAACAATGTTGAATCAGGATGTAGAGCTTTTCTCAGATATACTACATACTTATAATACAATGCTACAGAAATGTACCTGATTTTTTAAATTTCAAAAACAATATATAATTTTAATATGTTAGATTTAATACCTCTTGAGATACTAACTGTGGGTTATTATGTTATATTGTATATTTCAAACTTATCCCATTCTTTACTCATTCTCTGTAATACTTATAGAAAATAGAATAGTTAAAGATCCTTACTTTGCATAAGTGTCAGAGCTCATCTCAAACTAATGTGATAATTCTGCATACTTATTACTGTTTTCTTTTTAAAACCAGAGGTGTTATATGGTGGGGATACAAATTACTGCCACAAGCCTTTTATCCTGCTCCCCAATCTTGCTGAAGAAGAAAGGCATTAGAGAGTCAAGACATCAGACAACTGCTTCTTAGTCTTTCCTGGGGAAAGACATAGAGATTCAAATTGGGTAATGAGAGAGTAATAAAGCATCATATTTCATTTAACTTAGTCCTTCCCTTCTGCCTAAGATATACTTAGCATATTTACAAAACCACTTCTTCTTTTAAGAAAATATTTGTTTTCCTCTGAAACCACTGGATAATTAACAGAATGATTTTTTTTTTTTATTGGTCGTTCATAACATTACATAGTTCTTAATACATCATATTACACGGTTTGATTCAAGTGGATTATGAACTCCCGCTTTTACCCCGTATACAAATTGCTGTATCACATCAGTTACCCTTCCATTGATTGAC